AGTGGCTAAATTACAATGCTAAATTGAACTTTTTTTCCAGGACTCTTACGGTGTTGTCAGTAGTGTTGCAGAGCTTTTGGCAGCCCAGTATTTTGAGCCTGTTGAGTGTGGGAGGGAGTGGGTCAAACTCTCTGAACTAAATTCGTGTAGTTGACTTCCACGTACTGTCACAATCTGTGTTAGCTGGGAATTAAGTTCGTGATATAGGGAATTCAGATTTACATAAATATTATAATTATCCTTGGAATAACTAATGCTAATGCAGCAAATGCAGAATATATTTTCAGATTAAATCCAAATCCACGGTGGTTTCCTACCATCTTCCTTGCACATCTATTCTTAGTTAAAAATGCCACCTTCTCTCATCCAGGAGTTTCTCTGTTCTTATGGCTCAGGGGGTACAGCTTCTTGTTCTTGCAAGGATCACAAAGTTAAACTTGTCTTGGTAGCTCTCGTTGATGTAGAGATACCTGGGTATGCAGGATGGCTGAGGCACAAGTTCTAATTACTGATTGTGATCCTAGTCTAATAGTGTACTGAGTATGTCAAAACATCACCTAGTCTTACAGGTTTTGGTAGCCCTAGAAAGCACTCATCACCTTGCAGAGTAGCACCAATTTGTGTAGATTCACATGTCCTCAAAGGATTTCTAAACCAACTTTTTCTGTCTATTTGGTGATTCTGAAAATGACCCAATTATGGTTAAAATGTAACTATATTTTGCCACTTACTTCCCAGCAAATTCACACGGTAAATGTAACATAGGTGAAAAATGCTGAAACAAAGCATTTTAATTGAAGAAGATCTTCAGCTGACAAATGAAGACAAATGAATGACATATGACACTCAATTTTCTTCTTTCTTTCTTTTTTTTAATAGGGTGGAAAGAAGTATTACAGTGGGCCATGTGGGGGCCGTGATTGCAGCGCTGGATGCAAATGTTTTCCAGAGAAGGGTGCGCGGGTGAGTTTGTTTTCACTAATACAACTAGTCCTTGTGTCTCTTATCAATCTTTTTATAAATAAATAAATAAACCCCAAGTTAGTGTGTGTAATTCTCAATCTAATGACCTCATGAAACAAGAGAAATGATGAAGACCAGCTGCATTTCAAATGTCCCTGGCCAAGATTTCAAAAGCTGTTCTAAAGGTTTACAAATTGCTAGCTTTGCAATGAGTCTTCAGTGGAATCTCATTTCTTTATGTGGTATGAGCCCTAGTTCAAAAAAGTCAGATTTTTTAAAGTAGATTACAACAATTAAAAAGGAAAATCAAAGTAGTGTGGGCTTCCAGTACAGATTTTGCCCAGTCCTTACTGTAATAGCTTCTATTTGTTTGTGGAAGTGTTTTTGACTTTGGTGTTTATTTGCGAAGGAACAAAACTGAATGAATCTAAGCATTTCCCTTTGAGAAAGTCTTTTGTTTAGCTAAAGCCCCTCTCTGAAGTCTGCGTTTGAAGCAACCAAATGTTTAAGCAAGTTTTCTGTAAAAATCTTTAATTTCTTTTGATTATATGAAAGGGTTATAACTTTTATCTTAATGCAGCTGGTTATTTCCTATCTTAGGGTAATGCAGAGCTGCTGACTTCACTCTGCCTTCAATTACAATGTTAATTTTTGTCCAGACATCATCTACTTAATATTTTCTTTTAAGGTCTCTGAAGTATTTTAGCACGTATCAAAATGAATCTTACAGATTTTGCTTACGGAGATGAAAGGAGGAAAGAGCTGCATTGTAGTTACTTGAAGAATTAACTTGTAAGGGCTTAAGAAGAAGGGAAATACTACTAGTTGTCTTGTTTAATAAAGCAGTTATTCTTGCTGAAATCATATTGAAAAGTCATCCTCTGAGGGAAAACAAAAGAAATTAAGTCTTATTTAAACACTAGCAGTCCTGATTTTTTTTTTTCCTGTGTGTTTCAGTGACACGGTATGGGTAAATTCAAGGTATCACTTTCTAGGACTGAACTTAGGAAAACGTTGCTATTTAGAAATGATCGTCCGTTTATCGTCCAATGATACCATTTAAGCATGATTGCAGACAGACTTGAGCATGAATTCTTAATTGATAACTGATGATGTGTTTGCTCTAGAAGTATAAAAATTCTTTCAAATCATCATGTGGCAGGGTGAAAACATGTCTAAACAGATAGGCGGAAGAACTTCGCAAGGAAGTTCTCAACATAACCTAGAATATGAGCTAAAGCCAATTGCTCAACACCTTTTGTGATTAGATACAGAAAGGGACAGACCTAGTTTGGTTCTGGAACACAATATCCTGTAAATGCTTTGACCTACAGATAGCAATGAGCATCATTCTTCTGTCTCTTTACATTCCCGGGGTTCAACTTGATTGTTTGAACTGGCCACAACACTGTTGACCTTGCAGTTTGAGCTCTTGGCATCTCTTTTGTTAAGATGTCACAAAGATTTTAGGCTGTTTGCATAGCTGACCTGAGAACTCATTTGGCTTTTAGCTTGTTTCTTATGTGACCTGTATCGGTAGGCATTTTCAGTCTTTTAAACACGTGTTCCATCCTACTGAGACCTGTCCGTGGAGTAAACCGTCTGCTAGAAGTGGTAATCTTTCCCTTTTACAACACTACTTCCATCAAGCCATACTGAGCCCTGCTGACACCTTCTTGGACATCTGCAGGCAGCTACTGGAGTCCTGCCATGCCAGAGGATAAGGAGGTGACTGGCTGAACTGGGAAAGGGGGTGGTGTGATTATGTATCCTACAGCACAGCTTGTTTCTTGGAGGAGACTGTACAGCCTGAGGCTAATTCCTTGGCTTCCTGCCTAGCTTCTCCTCCATTGCTGCAAAACCTTTAAGTTCAGAACAGGCAAATGGGAGATGGGACTTTGCCAATGCCCTGAATCCATATTTTGTTTAAAAAAAAGTTTCAGCTGTCAATTTTACACAATTAACCAGATCAGAATAAAGCTAAGCTTTCTTTTTAAAAGAAAGAAATGGCTAAAAAGCACAGGAAAAATGACAATAAGCTGACAGCTCAATGAAAATAATATAGGCAGTGTCCTTAAATGTCCTCCTCCCTGGGTGCAATTCTGATCAGATCAAGCTGTGATGAACTTGTTTCTGACCAGATACTTTAAAAAATTTATTTAGGCAATAAAAATGTCAAAAGTGCCTAAGACCCACTGCCTAATTGGTGAAAGATATTTCTAGAAATGGGATGTAGGCATGTAGAACCCCTATGTCCCCATGTTCTTGTTTTTGCTATAGACTGTTAGTGCATGTGCAAGATATTAAAAAAAAAAAAGAGAACAAGTGTAACCTCCTTATCTTTAAGACAGAGCTTGATAGAAGACTGATCTCTACAGAGTGAGTCAGCTCTTTGTGGAATAGATTGGGATTCTTTTTAGAAGGAAGGGTGGTACAGTGTTTGTCTAGCAGCCACTTAGGGAATTCTTCTAACAGAGTGATAAGGCACATAGCAGCAGGAGAAGCCCACCAAACTGATTTTGGCCAGTTACAAGTCTAGGAATTTTGGATATGGTTGTTGAGTTCCCCTAAACTGCATTGTTAGAACTAATACTGACTTTAATATGAAATCTAACATAATGCTGTGCAAAGAAAAAGCCAGGTAGCATCACAGAGAATATGACAGCCCCTACCTACAGCTGGAGTCTCTACATGAATGTGTGGGACTTCTAAATCTCTATGTCCCTACTCCCGTTCTTCTGGCCAGCTGAGATACCAGCTATCAAACTAGTACAACAAGGCAATTTTAAAAGGAAGTCTGCTGTGATAGTGGAGGTACCCAAATGTACTCCGGTGCATGCAATCTTTTTGGGAAGGGAGACAGTCTGAACACAAACTTACACCTATTGAACCCACTTCTGCATACAAGTCTTACATACAGTCCTCTTTCAGAACAGCAACTGATAGGTAGAAAAAGCGCTTTATGTTAAACTATGAAGCACAAGAGGGAAGTTGGAAAAAGCAACCTTATTAAATTATAATGTGAGGAAGTGAATGTAAATTCCGATGCTAGTCTCTTTCTAGTGAAAGGCTGAATTTCTAATATGTATAGTTCCAGTGTAGGTGAGCTATCTACAGCTAGAACATTTTTGTCAGAAGAAATTATTGTGTTTAAATAATTGTTTTTCAGTCCCCTTTCTCACTGTTTAATCCACAGTTTATGGGCAGGGATAATGCCCTTTGAAAATGTCACGCTGTATTGATGGCTGTCTTGCTAAGAAATGCACTGCAGATAAGTCAGCAGAAAGCAGGAGGGCATTTTCCCTATTTGTAGAGTTTCAAGAAACACTACATAGTAGACAGCCTGCACCATTTCATCTCTGCAGCTCATTTTGCATTTTTTTATGATGGTGTTGGCTTTTTTGTTTTTATATACTGTCATCTACTTTCAAACACTCACAAAGATAAACTAGCAGACACAGTCCTAGTTGCATGTATACCTTCTCCTGATGCCTGTTCACTTATCTGGGAATTTATAACAATATTAGGGTTTGTTTTAAACTTTGCTCAACATGTACTGGAGCCCTTCAGCTGATATTAATCTTTCATTTTTTCATTCTAAGTCCTGTCCTCACCTCCCGCACCAAAAAAAGAATTAGAAGGGAAAAAAAATTTAGAAATGGTTTCCAAGGCTCCGCAAATTACTCAGCAGAGACTGTCTCAAGCAGCTTTTACAGCTTAGAATTGCTGTAAATTGGGAGAACTTGTTGTTACCAATTATATTTCTTTTTTTCTTGTGATATGTGATCATGTCAAATAATGTGTATATTTGTTACACATCATGTGTTCTTTAAAGCCCATTAAAATATGATAATATGATCAATTAGAAAACTATTAATGGCATTATAGAACCTCTTTCCTGTCTCTGAAAAAATCCACACAGAGGCTATTTCTAGCAACTGGTGTGGTTGGAAAGGAGTGTGTCTGTAGAATGAGGCAGTTAGTTCTGAGGACATGATGGACACTTTACACTAAATTGAGTCTGGTCCCATGAAGTGAAGGACCACTGGAGTGCCTCAGATATGCCGTGGAGCCCATCTCCTGACCTAGCCTCACTCAAAAGAAATCCTATTTATGTATTCCAAGACTACACTGCAATGTGAAGCAAAGCGCAGTAAGTAGGAGAGATTGAGTAAGACTGAGAGATTTTGCTCAAAAATGTAGTCACTATCTGAATTAAAGGCTAATGTACCCCGAGATACGTGAGATTCCACAGGTTTTCTCTGAAGTTAAAAAGATGATAGTAAATGTAGTGTAAATTATCTGTGGGCAATCAAAGAGTTTTTGATAGAATTACTGCAGATCAAACAAGCTAGAAAAGATAGACAGATCCTCAACATCCATGCATGGAACAGCATAACCTGAGGTCAGAACTTTGGATGATTTAATCTAATTGTTATCTAGCATAAACTAATGTCGCATTGGCAAGAGATCTTAGATTAACTTTTGTCTGGAACTAATCCCCTCAACTTAATACTGGGTGTACAGAGTGCCTCTCGTGATAATTAGTTGAAGATTGGTTGACATTTCTTTGCTATGAAATTGTAATAATTACAACTTGTATTTTTTAATAATGTTTGCTGAATTTTGCTTTGGCTGGTTAAACACTCTAATTGGAACAGTTTAGGGATTTCCTGAAGAAACACAATTTCTTTGGAAGTTTCGACTCAACAAAATGAATTTTTCTTGCAGAAGTGTTTTACACAAACATATTTGCTGGAGACAAAATTCTGTTAAGCTGTTGGTTCAAACTTCTCTCTGTTTCTATGTGGCTTCCTACTGCCTGACTTGACAAGCACTGTAGGACATAGTGATGCCATTTCGATATCTGTGGCCTGCAGGTTGGCCCGCCATACCAATTAAAATCAAATCAGACTATGAGATGTTGAGATTTCCTTCAAACTGACAATGCCAAGATATGACCGCTTCTAAATGTTGTCCTAGTGTACTAACCATGGATA